CATTTTTGCTTCTTTAATGAAGTAAACCAGATGATAAAACACGAGTATGAACCTTCCTGTCTTAAGTCTGTAGGTGCAGACACAAATTAAAATTTCTCTAGGCTAAATTATTACTATTTTATTATTTTAAATTTTGCTAACTTTCAGGGATTTCTCAGTTGAACAAACATGTTTTATAACTCATAAGATATTTTTTTCCCCCAATCTAATTTGCAGGGAATTATTTCTATGTTGTTGGAAACGGCATAGAAATACTGGACTGATACCGTTTTTAACCAAACACGTACATTTGGACAGTTGTGGATCCAATGTACCAAGCAAACTACCCACTAGCCAGTAAGCATTCACCTAGCGGCTCTAATCTGTCTCTCTTAATTCCAACCTGAGCCAACAGAATTATTTATTTAGAGAATGAATGGTGGGTTTAAATACTTGGATAACATCTGGAACAAATAGACCTTTTTCTTTTTATTCTTGTACTGAAAATCTTGAGAGATGGTTTTTAATGGCATTTAACTTTAGTCAGAGACGTACAGTATAATATTACTCAGTGATATAAGATTTAAGACAGAACACACATAATACCTTAAAGGAGTGAGGCTCTAAGCGGTGAGGCCATTCAATTTCTCTTGGTGAATGACTGTAAAAATCTGTACAGCATATTTTACGTTGATATTTCTCTTCCTGCATTGTAAAGCATGGTAATTTTAGTGTTCAATAAACTTTCAGTCCAAAGACCGGCTACGTGGGTTTTATTAATAAACTGAATGACAGATAGCAGTTGGGTTCATCAGAGTTCAAATCTGTCACATTTTACAGTAGAATATCCAGGCAATAGATGGGTCATTCCATGAAAACCAACCAACTGCACCAGTTTAATGTTTCTGATGGAGAAACAACCATTAGTTTGAGGGGCCCTCATAACGCTGCTTGCAGCTTTAATTCTGTTTTGTATTTTCTTATTTAATGCAAATGCTAATATAATGCAAATATTACAAAGATTGTAAATGATTTCTTCTGCTTTGTCCTTGTCCATGTTATTAACATGTAGAAAATTATGCATGTTTTTGTCCTGTAGAGGGAGACAAATATTACTGTTACTGTGTGTTCATCTGCCTTCTTGACAGAATATTTGTCACAAAGTAAGGTTCCTTAAAAGGAAAGGGGAGACTGAAAACATCCGATTACTTGTTTTAAGTTATTAGCATTATATATATATATATATAGAGAGAGAGAGAGAGAGAGAGAGAGAGAGAGAGAGAGAGAGAGAGAGAGAG